TCACGCTCACTTTGTGATTGGGGCGCATGTGCTTTGGGCGTATTCCGAACGAGTGTGAAAGCTTTTTCTTTCGAGTTGAACGCACAAATTAATTTCTGTTAAGCATACGCAATGTCTGCCACAGGCATTAAATTATATTGAATATTTCCTTTTGTTTAAGTTGATTTTGAATCGTTAGGCCTGCATTTTTTAAATGCCGTAAATTATTTACAACTTCCTGCAGCTGGGCTGCATGGACAGCTCCGCCAATTGGCTGCGTAGGAATGCGAACCGTGCGCGTGGAGCGTGTACGAGGCAATGAACGATTCCAAGAGTTGCTGCAGCCTGTCGTTGAAACGGAAACACACTGCCCTAGTTTTTAGTTGTGCTCCTCGACACATATATACATACATACACACATACATGCAAGCACATGCACGTATACATAGTAACATGCACACACATGTAGAGCACCAGCCGCACAGCTCAAATATGCACTTAACAAGAGTTGCCATGTTTATTATAACTATGCACACAGTTAAAACACGTTAATTTGCTTCAACTACTGTATTAAAACGAGCACAACCAGTGTTGCCACTGTGCTGCCACTGCGTTGCTAAAAGGTAAACAGACCGACCATCCGACAGAACGAGAAACCGACTGCCTGCCTTGGCTGGCTGTGCGCACATTGAACTCGTTTGGAATTGGGCTTAATTTCCTTGTAGGTATCTGCTGCAGCATACACATATACACAAACACGCACATACACACACCCGGACATCAGAAATGTACATGTTCGGGCACTGACTGACTGACACACATATACCAATAAACGCGCACAACGGGCGCCAACACCAACAACTACGACGTCGACGTCGACGTTGACGACGACGACGACAACGAACGCGAATACGACGACGACGAATAGGAAACAACAAAAATAACATTGACGATGACAACGAAGCGTGGCTAGAACGGGGCCAGGAGCTCGTTCGGCGACGGCGACGGCAACGGCAACGGTAACAGCAACAACAACGGCAATAGCAACAACAATCTGATACACGATACCCCACTGTACCAAATCTCCGGCTGCCCATCGACTTTATCATCGTGTCCTTTCGCTTGGCGTTGTCGTTGGCGTTGCGTTGTCGTTCTGTTCGTCGTCGTTAAAAACTGTTTTGTGCTCGTTTTGTGCGATTCAGCATGAAACTGGCGCACAGTGCGTGTATCGCGTATGTGCACGTGTGTATACGTGTGCTCTTGTGTGTGCACCTCTGTGTGAGTAGGCGAATGAATATTTCTAGCCATGCGTGTGTGCGGACCTCCTCTTCTTTTAAATAGAAGCCCCCAGCAACGCCAGAATAAACAGAAAAAGTTGCCGTGAAGATTCCAATTTTCTTTTGCCGAGCCATAGTTCCTTGAGATTTCTTTTTTTTTCAGTTGATTTAACACTACATATATCTCTTGCTTTGTATTTCATTATTTCGCTAAATCATATTTCCGAATTGTTTGTCCAAAAATATGTTTAAATATTTTGCATTTATACAACAATTATTTCACTTTCAATTATTCAATTCTTTAAGCGGCCATAATACACGAATATATCATATGGAATATACGTATATCTTTTCTTAATTTGACATACGCAGTTAGAAAATTTTTCACTCTCACAGTATTTGTGTGTATGTATGCGCGTATACAGTGTATATATATAAGTAAATATATTGTATATAAAATATATATGAAATATACAATATAATAGGTACACTTGTATTTAATTTATATAATATATATGTGCACATACTTATATATCAATGTGTGTGTATGTGTGTACATATATTTAATGAGGAACTTTTTTCCATTACTTTTCACACAGGCACACGACGCGCACAGGCCTAGCACCAACCTTTCTTGTCAGCAGCGGATACAATTCTGCGCGCTGTGAACTTAAATGACTCTTGGCTCTGTACAGCCGAAGCTCGCCTTTGAGCTTTTTCGGAATGCTAGGGGCCTGGCATGACAGGCGAAGCTTGTAATTCATTAAAACTGGCGCCAAAACTGCAACGAGAAGCCAAGAGTAACATGTGTGTGTGTCTGTGTTTCTTTGTATATGTTTGAGTGTTGCTTATTTAGTGATCCGTTCACGTGGCGTATGGAATACAAGAATTAATTTCGTATTGCATAACGCTGTGCCAAAGAGTGTTTTTATTTGTAGCATACTTTTAGGTATTAACCTTTTTGAATTTTACGTATTTTTTTCTTATAATTTTTTTTTTAACTTTTATTAAACCATACGAGGCACTTCACTGCTCTTCATTCATTCATTTCTTAGTTGAGGTATTCGTGTTTTTTTTTTTTTATATATTAACTGTCGTGTGGAATGAACCAGTAGTAGGTTGAGAGGCTGCGAACTCTTAGTTACTGCAGCCCTGAGCTAAAAACGATTATTGGGCCATCGATTTTAAAATTCGATAATCAAAACAGTCGGGACGTGACTTCTGAAAAATAGGTTGCTCCGATTTGGCAATCAAACACAAATTTCTTACATTAGGTAACAGAAAGAACAAGGAGAAGTTCACCAGCTACACTATGACCACAGCCGTGCTCGGTGCCGGCCTTAGTGGGCTATCAGCAGGCTATTACCTGTTGCGACGTTTCGGCAAACCTTTGACCATTTACGAGGCATCTCCACGCGTCGGCGGCTGGATACGCACGGAAGGCCACAAGGATCGGGGCTTCCTGTTCGAAGGAGGACCGCGAACAATACGCCCCAAAGGCGTAGCGGGTGCCAACACACTCGAGCTGATAGAAGAACTCGAGCTGCCCATTCATCCCATTCCCAGCTCCCATGTGGCTGCAAAGAATCGCATGCTCTATGCTAAAGGACAAGTGTGCATGCTTCCAAACAGTCCTAAGGGCCTAATCCGCACAGTTCCACCCTTTACGAAGCCTCTGTATAGAGCTCTGCTCCACGACTTGTTCACGGGCAGCACTCTGGCCAAGAACGAGGACGAATCCATTTACAGCTTTACCAAAAGGCGATTTGGCAAGGAAATTGCCGACTATGCCATCAGCCCGATGATCTGTGGCATTTGTGCCGGCGACGCTCACGAAATCAGCGTGCGATTCCTAATGGAGACTCTCTTTGAGAACGAGCAGAAGTACGGCGGAGTGCTGAAGGGTGCATTCTACGCCCGTTTCAAGGACAAAGTGGACGAGAACAAAACGGGTTTATTTGCCAAGGGCGAGCCCCAGTTGTTCAAGCAGGCCACCAAGGAGAAGTGGGCCATGTATGGCGTCGAGGACGGCCTGGAACAGCTGCCCCGTGCCATGCGCAAATATTTAGGTGAACACGACGTGAATGTGCAGTTGAGCAGCAAGTGCTCCAATCTAACCTTTAGCAGCGACGGCGCACGGATTAGCCTGCGCGACGCCGAGGTGCCGGTGAGACACGTTATAAGCGCTCTGCCAGCACACCAATTGGCGTCGGTGGTGAGAGCGCAGCATCCATCCCTGGCCGCTCAACTGCTGGAAATACCCTATGTGGACGTGGTGGTGGTCAACATCCAGTACAATAGCGACCAACTGCTGAAGCACAACGGCTTCGGCCTGCTAGTGCCACCTGTCGAGAAGTTGCCCATACTCGGGGTGATTTTCGACAGCTGCTGCTTCGACATGGCGGGCAACACGATCCTCACCGTTATGATGGGCGGTCGCTGGTTCGACCAGTGGTTCGGCAACCAGCCGAGTCAGAAGAAGCTCCGCGACATAGCCCACCAGCACGTCCGTCAGATCCTGCAGATCAAGGAGGAGCCCATGTTCAGCCGAGTGCACATACTCCACAAATGCATTCCCCAGTACACAGTGGGGCACAAGAGACGCGTAGAGAACATAAGGAAGTACATCAAGGACTATAAACTGCCTTTATCCCTGTGTGGCGCAGCCTACGATGGCGTGGGCATCAACGATGTCATCTTGTCTGCGCGCAGACAGGTGGAGGAACTGCCATCACCGTCGGAACCTTGAACTGAAATTCGCATATTTCCATTCAATAATTATTCTTTGTATATATTTGCAATTGTAACTGTGATTTGACTGATTTTCTCTATGCACATAAACTTCCCAAAATTCCCCGTCTACGATAGCCGTTTACTTGCCAAAGCCACCCAAACAGGGCGGACTCTTCTCCGGCTCCTGCTCGGGCTCCCATTGCTTCGGTGTTTTCGCCTCGATCGAGAGCGCATGCATAAACTCGAACCCAGCTTCCTTTAGCGCCGTCTTTATTGTGTCATTCACCAGTCGATGGCGCTGCAAGGAGAACGAAAATTAGTTCTGCTTCATCTCAAGTGCCCTTCCTGGTCCTCAGCTCACCTTTATCAGCGTCAAATCATTGAACTTCTCGGAGACAATGAGCACCCGAAAATGTGACTCCGCCTGCTTCGGCGTGTTGTGCATCGGCGATTCATTGCTCACATCCAAAAATATCGGCTTCAGCTGCTCTGTTAGCGCTTTCCTCATCGCCGTTTCTATGGGCGGATATTGCGGCTCTTGAGACTGTGACATGTTTGCTTGTAGGCTCCTATTAGCTACTACGCTACTTCCACTAAGTAGTTGATTCACTTTTTGCGCTGAAATTCGAACGGACTGGCGCAACGTTAAGCCGAACATGTTTCTAAATTCTCGCACAGCTGTTGCACAATTACATAAACAAAATGCTATGCGACCTACACGAAAGCAGAAATGAACCAGTTCGGCTCAGTTCATGATATCTGCACGTTAATTTGAAACAAATGAACCGACAGGAATCTTACATCTAAAAAAAAATACTAAATAACTTTAGTGAATCCGCTGTGACATTTGAAACAAATATGCAAATCTTTAACTAAATACAATTTTAGCCATAAAAACAGATTTTCAATTTACCATTTATTCAATTATATAGAGACAGGACTCATGCATGTATTGCTTGTAACACATTTTTTTGCAGGCATTTTTCGAATTTTAAAAACAATTCGAATTCCTATGCACTTGTTTAATTGAGCATAAGCGTAAACAAATACATTCAACAATGCATAAAGCCATAGAAAAATATGCCTATACCTAAAACAAACGATGCGCGGCCATAACCAATCATATCATATCCATCATATTATCGCATTTTTCTATTCTTGAGTATACGTTTGTTGATCCACATCAATAGTCGACCAGCTTCTTAAGCTTGGGTGGCGCCGATATGACCACTCGTCCTCGATTTCCGCTGCCAGAGCCACTGCCACTGCCATGAGCCTGAGCCTCCTCTCGAGCACTGTGCGTACGTTCGTAGTGCTGCTGCCTGTATCGTTCGCGGTCACGAGCTCTCTCCAGGCTGTGCTCCCGCTGGCGGCGTCTTCGTGACTGGGACTGGCTGCGTCGACTTCGGGAGTGTCTGCGCTCTCGACTGCCGCTGCGTCGACGACTGTGAGACCTGCGCTTACGCTCGATCGGCCGACTGTTGCTTCGTCTACTACGAGAGCGCGATCGTTGTCTTCGGCTCCGACTGGGACTGCGGGATCTGCGTTTTCTCTGCACACGACTAGTGCTGCGTCGACTTCGGGAACGTGATCTATGTCTCTTAGTTCGACTGTGACTGCCGCTGCGTGATCTGCTGCGACGGGCGGATGCTTTGGTAGTGCGCGCTGGAGCTTCTGAGTCCACCGAATCAACGTCGCTGTCGGAGAGCTTGCCGCTGGACGGCGTTCCGTACTTGTGGCGCAACTCTCGCCGCCTGTGAATAAAGAGATGTGAGAGGGCTTCACTAAAGCCACCCACAACTGATTACTCACCTGCGCCGCAGCTTGAGCGCCAGCTCACGCATCTCGTCCTCGCGCTCCTGCTGCAGTTGTCGCTCCCTCTCCGTCTTCTCGATCTCTGCTCGCTTATCGGCCTTATCTGGAATTGGAAATGGAACGATGTAGTACTTGCTCCTCGATGGCCATTCTATTTATCTTTGAACTTCACACTACACTCTCGCCGGCTTACATTGCCTGTTCAGCAGGTTTTGCATTTTGCGCTTAAGCCGCTCTCGCAAATTGGGTCGTCCACTGCCGCTCGCCTGTCCAGAGCCCTGTAAAAGTCACCAACCACATCATTTAATATAATCATAAGGCCAAAACAGAATGGTGAAGTTGGAGTCAGTTCTGGTATCAGTCGAAAGTGTCGTTGCGTAAAAACTTGCCAACAATTAAGCAAAAACTTGATTTCAAAAATTAAAATTTCCTTTTGCCTTTTAGGACAGATTTCAAATAACTTAAATATTTCAAATTGATTTAGAGCAAAGAAATCGGAAGGCGAAGATGAAAGCTAAATACAATGCGAGTATGAAAAGGGATCCATTATAATTATTATTACTAATAATAATGCTTGTATCATTCAAATTTGTAAGTTCTAAGCGATAACGGAAAGAAAGAAAACCTGGTACCCGATCATACCAATAGAACAGAACATTTCGGCAAATTATAATTTTCAGATATAAAAAACCCTAACTAAACGCTTCCTTTTGAAAAAATTATAATCTAATTATTTCAATAATATAAGATAAATAAATAATTTTTTGAAGTTTTTACAAAATAAATTTGGTAAGTCTAAACTCTCTATCTTTCTGACTTTTAGTGCGGATGAACATACGGACAGTCGGACACTTAAATATAGCTATGTCTATCTCTCGGATATGTTTTTTAAGAAGACATTCGAGTACGTTATGGTATATATATATATACTATAATGTATTCATATTTGGTTGGTGTCTGACTTGGATTCACATTGTTTGGTTTGGATTTTTTGAGGTAGAGGCGTGAAATTTTGTGGTGTACTCCAGTTATTTGAGGCAATGAGACACTTTGGTTTTGCTTACTGACTTTGGTTTCGGTAGCAGAACTATATTTGCCTGTTTGATTACCCGTGCTGGATGACGACATCAATGGCTGTGAGCGTTCCGAGCTGAAAGAGATAGATATTATAAACATACATATATTTAGTATGTCAAAATAGTGAATGATCTAAGACAAAAATGTATATTGGAATGAAAACTGATAAGGCTTCTTTGGTTGCTCAACATTACCACACGTGCTGCCCTCACTTACGCAGTATCCACATCCAATTCGTCAGAGTCATCGCGGTCTCTGCCGCGCAGAGATTTGCCTGGCTGTTTGCTCTCATCTTCCTCCGCATCGCTGGGATCACTACTCTCCGCTGACGAGGAGGACGTATCGTTGCCGCGCTTCCGTCCGTAGTAGCGCTTCAAGGGCGGCGGTGGTGGCTCTGTCACTTGGGGCACCACCGGCGTAGCCTTAATCACAGCCGGTGCAGTTGTCGTCATGCTGAGCACGCGCGAGGACAACGGATAGCTGATCATGGGCACGGCGGACACCGTCTGCTCCGCCGGCTTTGTCAGCAGCTGCTTGAGCGGCACACTCGCCGCTGTTGCCAATATGGTGCTGGCCGTCGTCGTCGTTGTTGTTGTGCTGAGGCAAATAGTCTGTGTTTTCTGTGTTGCTGGTGGCGTTGCAGCCTTCTTAACACATGAATGCGCTCGACTGAGTCGGCTGGCTCGTGAGTGGGAGCGGGAGCGACGCCTCCTCGACTTCGTGTAGGAGCTAGCACTGGAGCTGCCAGAGGAATAGGAATAGCGTTTGCGCGATCGTCTATAGCTCGGGCTGCGTGAGCGCTCCCAGGACTTTGATCTAGTGCGAGACTGGGAACGCGATCTGGAGTAGTAGCGCCGTCGTCTCCGGCTCCGTGTGCGGCTGCGTCGGTGATAGCTGCGACGGCGACTGCGCCGGCGACTTGGACTGCGGGAGGTGCTATGCGAGCGCCGTCGTCCACTGCGCTTAGCCGACTCATTCATGAGCTTCAGTTTATCAAGGTTGTCTTTGACCTTTTGTGCGTATGACACTGAAGTAGCTGCAGATGCTGCTCCGCTGCTGGCATTAATGCAGGACTCGCCCAAGGTCTGACCAGGCTTGGTCAAGTTGATAGTGATCTTTGAGTGCGGTTGCATCTCGTCCTCGCCACCGAATGAGGTAATATAGGTAATCTTTTCGCCACCGCCCTCGGCTGGTGACGGCGACCGCGACTCCGAATCCTCGTCCTTATCCTTGTTTTTGCTCTGGTCCTCCTTGGCCGCATAGCTGGGAGGGCTGAATGGACGATTTGCGATGCGTCGCTCCTTTTGTGCTCGTCGCTCTCGGCGTGACTTGCGGCCACTTAATAACATCTTCTCCTGCTCCTCCTCGCGCGCAATGCGCAGCGCATCCGCTTCGTCTGCATCTTTAGTTAGATGAGAGAAAAAATCGTTGCTTTTCATGCCGTAGTTACGCCCGCAAGCATTTAGTTCGTGTGCCTGAGCCGTATCCAGTTTGCCAATGTCTATCGAGACATCCATGTCGATATCGGAGTCAGATTCATCAGAGTTTTCAGCCTTTTCGCCCGAAGGAACAACTGCGCCGCTGCTGCTGCTGCTCGCCGGCTGCACCGATCCAAAGGGCTGTGGGCCGATTGCGATCGAAGGCAAATCCCCGACATCATCATACGAGTACCCAATAGTGGCTCCGCCGGTGCTCTTCTGTTTCTTCTTTCCCAAATTTCGCTCCGCCTCAAGCTGCGCGTTTGCTCCGTACTGCTCCTCCAAATACAACTGATGTAGGAATTTGTCTTCGCTCACATTGAGGAAATCATTTTGGGCCAAAATGCGATAGCGTTCATAGTTCAATTGGCGTTCCTCCGCCGTCAACTCCGAATCGTCTTCGCCCTGCTCATTGCTGCTCTTTGGCACGGGCGCAATGTAGTCCAGATGTGCACGGACATCAAAGCGATCGATAAGATTGTCCTGATGTCCCTGCCAGGGCACACTGAAAGGACAGAACAAGGATCAAATTAGATATCGCACATTGATTGGCTTGCCATGATTGGAAGATAAACTGTATTCAATATCACTTGCATGATTGCGTCGCCGTCACCGGCGGCCGCTACGGCTGGATCTAGATAAATTTTGCAGCGTCTGCCATGCAATTGCAGAAACTGCGTGGGGTCCGCTTGGATCTTATCATAGAAGTATTGTCTACGCTCGGCACGCTTGCGGTAGTCCACGATGAGGCCCCGTATCCGGCGTTCCTGTTTTCGAGCTTCGTGCCACATAATTTTCCATCAATTAGGCAATGACAACTTTTTCACAGAGTTCACACACGCTCGCTCGGCCGGCAAAATTCGTCTATTTTTTAGTGACTCGTTTCCATTGGCTCTCCGTGTGACAGCGCCAGTGCTGTAAAGCGCCTGCAAACGACGCCCTGAATCGGAACTTGTTCCGCTCACTTCAGATCCGCTATGTAGCAGGCCAAGATGCATAATTCAAACTAATTGGGGTTAATTTAAGAAAAGATCCCACTGCAAAAAGATTAGATGCTAAAGAAAAAGTCATGGTATGCCTTTGTCCATCTCCTGGTCAGCCCAAGCAGCCGGCTATCGCCTCAGGCCTGCAACTGCGCATGCGCATCACATATGGAGATGGGGTGGAAACGGATATAAAAGAGTTTCATAAATAACAGGCAAAACTGGAATGAGCCACAACACAACAATTGTCAAACGCTGCTGCCTCAGCCGCCGCCGACGTCGTCTCAACTTTTTGCGGCATCGATTTTAAGGGCATATTCACATCATTTAGCCAAGTACTAAGAACTAGCGCAACCAGTTTGCTGATCCCGTTTATTGTCTAATGTCTGGTAGACGTTATTATTTCGGAGCTGAGAAACGTTACAATTCCTCCATCGAGGGCGAGAAGGTCTGTCAGGAGGATGGGCCTTTGTACCCTTGCGACAAGAACAACAA